AGCTAGGCTTATTTCCAATTTGAATTTAGATAAGATGGCAGCCAATTTCACCCCTTTGGATTACTCCTCGTGTCAAAACAGACCCATGACTAATAGCCAATATGAGACAGCTTCTTCAGGTATGGTTTATTTTTACCCTAAAAACACTATTAAATGAAATAAATTCAGTTTAAAACATAGTTGTGAATAAAAGGCTGAGGTGTCTATTAGCTCTCCGGGTCATTTCACTTTTCTAAGAACATTTTCCTGGATGTTTTCCGACCATTTTTGCGTAACCAGATGAGATTTTTCTGGCTTAGTACAAAGTAAAATATTCAAAGAAACAAATTCAATTTGAATAGTTTTTTTTAAATATTAAGTGATAATAATTGATTTAGCGTGATTTAAATATAAAATCGTCTTCTCTTTTCTATTACTTTTTATGTTCCTAATATTTCATTTTTTTTCTTCTTAGTGAGAGAGGGATATTCTGAAAAAATGTTTGGCGCGTCGAAAGATTGAAAATTTCATAATTTCCTATTTTGTCACGTCATAGCCAACAACTTTTTGAAAAAAAATGACGGAATTAGGGTAAGGACGTGTTAGATGGAGCCCTAATTCAAACGAAAACAACACTCCCAGGTATCGAATACATTTTGATATATAAAACACCCCTAAGTCCAACTATGATTATGAAAACTAGGTTTTACGAAAAATTTTCTCAGGGTCGAGGACTAGCTTTCCCGTACTGGAAATTATTTTTGGAGTAAAAGAATCCATTTTAATTAGACTTTTGGTTGATTTGAGTTGATCAACATTACGAGGTCAAACTATGAACTGGGTAGCCGCACTACTTTGTGTCTCTATGTTCCTGGATTCCAGAGATAAGTCTTTTAACATGTTACAAATTGTAAGTGGATTCCACTTGCAAAAATTCCGTGAATTCCGCGTTTTAATACCTGTAACGTAAATTTTGCCGGCATATTTGTTGTGTCGCGGATTCGGCAACAAGAGAAAATAGCTAGTAGTTTTGGATTTCACAACTGTCAGTGGATCCCGCAAAGGTAAAAGGAATCCGCAAATGTAAGTGGGATCCGCAAAATCTGTATGTAAATGGATTCCGAACTTTTTTATTACTGAACTTGCATATGCACGATTGCAAGAGCTGGATATCTTAGCAATTCGTAATTGAAAAGCAAGGTCTTAAAAATTGTCAGCGGAAACCACCAACAAATTTTAAAACATGGTTAACTAAATCGATAGATGTCACCTTTTAGTATTTGGGACACATGTCCCAGCCAGCAATTTTTGGGATCATTTTTGAGATTCTACAGACTGCAGACTGTTCCGGATTCCGCGGATTCCGCAATTGCACCAATTTTTAAAATACGGTGTCTTAGTTATTATCCAAAACAGCAAAGAAGATCAAAAGAAAAGTAGCAATCTTGCGGATTCCGCCACAAATCTGATTTTGACCTTCTGGGGAATCCACTTCAATGCTTGAATGCACAGTTTGGTCTCATTCTGAAACAGAAAAAAGACGGTAAGGAATTGAAATAAAGTGGCGCCAAACAGATCGACTTGTATACGAGGGAATATCATGAAAATAGGACCCAGAACATGAAAAATACAGCCCGAAAGGTGTCGACTCCCCGTTAGCTGGTATTGGGTAGTTTTCACACCGGTTTTTTTATTCTGTCAATTTCCGGCGACCGAAATCAGTTTTCAACAAAAAAAAATGCAGCATTGAAGCTATCGACTTCCTGAAATCAAATTTAGAATAATATGTATTTTTATCCAATAAACTTTTGCAAAGTTCGAAAGTTGCTAATTTGGCCATGCTCTGGAATAGTTCATGCGGGGGCTTTGTAGATTTTATCCCGAATCCTCACAACGTGACGCGAACTATTGGTGCAAGGCGAACTATCCCGGACAACAAAATCTTTCCTAGCTAATTGAAGCTAGAATCGAAGCTAGCTAATTAGTCGTATTTATTTCGTACGACTCAAGTTTTAACACTTGATTTTTGATACTGTACAAGATTTATAGTTTTTCAATATTTTGTTTTCCAAAAAGTTATTCGATATGAATTAAGAAGCAATGTGAACTTTTAGAGCTTAGTCCTGATATACGTGCAGTCTTGTTTGAAAATTATCATCTCTTTTTGAAAACTCTGCTTTCGTTTACAAGAGTACAGAAATGATAATGCAATGTCAGATAATTTTATAAAAAAGAAAACTAGCTGAATAATACAAAAAGACAAGTAGTTGCCTTTTTTTAACTCCGTACAACAACCAATCATATCAATATGCAAAAACTGTTTACCTTCTTTTTTTTCGATCCATTAAAATTAATTCTTATTTAATTTGAGTTTTTCCTCCTTTTCTACGACGTGTTTCCGTTTACACATGAGTGGATTTCTTGCTTTATGCTTCCTTATGCAGACACCTTTTATGCTTGCAGTTCAGCGCCAATCAATAGGTCGTCCTTTTCTTTGCCCCTCCGACCTCAAAATTTGATAAACACCCCACCAAAAAAATAATACATTTTGACCCGCAGATCTAATGTCTAACATTGATGAATAAATTTTCCACAAAGTACAGCTTCTTAATTCTATTTTTTGATGGATTTTGGTTTGGCTCGGACTTATATTTATTCCAGCTAGGCTTATTTCCAATTTGAATTTAGATAAGATGGCAGCCAATTTCACCCCTTTGGATTACTCCTCGTGTCAAAACAGACCCATGACTAATAGCCAATATGAGACAGCTTCTTCAGGTATGGTTTATTTTTACCCTAAAAACACTATTAAATGAAATAAATTCAGTTTAAAACATAGTTGTGAATAAAAGGCTGAGGTGTCTATTAGCTCTCCGGGTCATTTCACTTTTCTAAGAACATTTTCCTGGATGTTTTCCGACCATTTTTGCGTAACCAGATGAGATTTTTCTGGCTTAGTACAAAGTAAAATATTCAAAGAAACAAATTCAATTTGAATAGTTTTTTTTTAATATTAAGTGATAATAATTGATTTAGCGTGATTTAAATATAAAATCGTCTTCTCTTTTCTATTACTTTTTATGTTCCTAATATTTCATTTTTTTTCTTCTTAGTGAGAGAGGGATATTCTGAAAAAATGTTTGGCGCGTCGAAAGATTGAAAATTTCATAATTTCCTATTTTGTCACGTCATAGCCAACAACTTTTTGAAAAAAAATGACGGAATTAGGGTAAGGACGTGTTAGATGGAGCCCTAATTCAAACGAAAACAACACTCCCAGGTATCGAATACATTTTGATATATAAAACACCCCTAAGTCCAACTATGATTATGAAAACTAGGTTTTACGAAAAATTTTCTCAGGGTCGAGGACTAGCTTTCCCGTACTGGAAATTACTTTTGGAGTAAAAGAATCCATTTTAATTAGACTTTTGGTTGATTTGAGTTGATCAACATTACGAGGTCAAACTATGAACTGGGTAGCCGCACTACTTTGTGTCTCTATGTTCCTGGATTCCAGAGATAAGTCTTTTAACATGTTACAAATTGTAAGTGGATTCCACTTGCAAAAATTCCGTGAATTCCGCGTTTTAATACCTGTAACGTAAATTTTGCCGGCATATTTGTTGTGTCGCGGATTCGGCAACAAGAGAAAATAGCTAGTAGTTTTGGATTTCACAACTGTCAGTGGATCCCGCAAAGGTAAAAGGAATCCGCAAATGTAAGTGGGATCCGCAAAATCTGTATGTAAATGGATTCCGAACTTTTTTATTGCTGAACTTGCATATGCACGATTGCAAGAGCTGGATATCTTAGCAATTCGTAATTGAAAAGCAAGGTCTTAAAAATTGTCAGCGGAAACCACCAACAAATTTTAAAACATGGTTAACTAAATCGATAGATGTCACCTTTTAGTATTTGGGACACATGTCCCAGCCAGCAATTTTTGGGATCATTTTTGAGATTCTACAGACTGCAGACTGTTCCGGATTCCGCGGATTCCGCAATTGCACCAATTTTTAAAATACGGTGTCTTAGTTATTATCCAAAACAGCAAAGAAGATCAAAAGAAAAGTAGCAATCTTGCGGATTCCGCCACAAATCTGATTTTGACCTTCTGGGGAATCCACTTCAATGCTTGAATGCACAGTTTGGTCTCATTCTGAAACAGAAAAAAGACGGTAAGGAATTGAAATAAAGTGGCGCCAAACAGATCGACTTGTATACGAGGGAATATCATGAAAATAGGACCCAGAACATGAAAAATACAGCCCGAAAGGTGTCGACTCCCCGTTAGCTGGTATTGGGTAGTTTTCACACCGGTTTTTTTATTCTGTCAATTTCCGGCGACCGAAATCAGTTTTCAACAAAAAAAAATGCAGCATTGAAGCTATCGACTTCCTGAAATCAAATTTAGAATAATATGTATTTTTATCCAATAAACTTTTGCAAAGTTCGAAAGTTGCTAATTTGGCCATGCTCTGGAATAGTTCATGCGGGGGCTTTGTAGATTTTATCCCGAATCCTCACAACGTGACGCGAACTATTGGTGCAAGGCGAACTATCCCGGACAACAAAATCTTTCCTAGCTAATTGAAGCTAGAATCGAAGCTAGCTAATTAGTCGTATTTATTTCGTACGACTCAAGTTTTAACACTTGATTTTTGATACTGTACAAGATTTATAGTTTTTCAATATTTTGTTTTCCAAAAAGTTATTCGATATGAATTAAGAAGCAATGTGAACTTTTAGAGCTTAGTCCTGATATACGTGCAGTCTTGTTTGAAAATTATCATCTCTTTTTGAAAACTCTGCTTTCGTTTACAAGAGTACAGAAATGATAATGCAATGTCAGATAATTTTATAAAAAAGAAAACTAGCTGAATAATACAAAAAGACAAGTAGTTGCCTTTTTTTAACTCCGTACAACAACCAATCATATCAATATGCAAAAACTGTTTACCTTCTTTTTTTTCGATCCATTAAAATTAATTCTTATTTAATTTGAGTTTTTCCTCCTTTTCTACGACGTGTTTCCGTTTACACATGAGTGGATTTCTTGCTTTATGCTTCCTTATGCAGACACCTTTTATGCTTGCAGTTCAGCGCCAATCAATAGGTCGTCCTTTTCTTTGCCCCTCCGACCTCAAAATTTGATAAACACCCCACCAAAAAAATAATACATTTTGACCCGCAGATCTAATGTCTAACATTGATGAATAAATTTTCCACAAAGTACAGCTTCTTAATTCTATTTTTTGATGGATTTTGGTTTGGCTCGGACTTATATTTATTCCAGCTAGGCTTATTTCCAATTTGAGTTTAGATAAGATGGCAGCCAATTTCACCCCTTTGGATTACTCCTCGTGTCAAAACAGACCCATGACTAATAGCCAATATGAGACAGCTTCTTCAGGTATGGTTTATTTTTACCCTAAAAACACTATTAAATGAAATAAATTCAGTTTAAAACATAGTTGTGAATAAAAGGCTGAGGTGTCTATTAGCTCTCCGGGTCATTTCACTTTTCTAAGAACATTTTCCTGGATGTTTTCCGACCATTTTTGCGTAACCAGATGAGATTTTTCTGGCTTAGTACAAAGTAAAATATTCAAAGAAACAAATTCAATTTGAATAGTTTTTTTTTAATATTAAGTGATAATAATTGATTTAGCGTGATTTAAATATAAAATCGTCTTCTCTTTTCTATTACTTTTTATGTTCCTAATATTTCATTTTTTTTCTTCTTAGTGAGAGAGGGATATTCTGAAAAAATGTTTGGCGCGTCGAAAGATTGAAAATTTCATAATTTCCTATTTTGTCACGTCATAGCCAACAACTTTTTGAAAAAAAATGACGGAATTAGGGTAAGGACGTGTTAGATGGAGCCCTAATTCAAACGAAAACAACACTCCCAGGTATCGAATACATTTTGATATATAAAACACCCCTAAGTCCAACTATGATTATGAAAACTAGGTTTTACGAAAAATTTTCTCAGGGTCGAGGACTAGCTTTCCCGTACTGGAAATTATTTTTGGAGTAAAAGAATCCATTTTAATTAGACTTTTGGTTGATTTGAGTTGATCAACATTACGAGGTCAAACTATGAACTGGGTAGCCGCACTACTTTGTGTCTCTATGTTCCTGGATTCCAGAGATAAGTCTTTTAACATGTTACAAATTGTAAGTGGATTCCACTTGCAAAAATTCCGTGAATTCCGCGTTTTAATACCTGTAACGTAAATTTTGCCGGCATATTTGTTGTGTCGCGGATTCGGCAACAAGAGAAAATAGCTAGTAGTTTTGGATTTCACAACTGTCAGTGGATCCCGCAAAGGTAAAAGGAATCCGCAAATGTAAGTGGGATCCGCAAAATCTGTATGTAAATGGATTCCGAACTTTTTTATTACTGAACTTGCATATGCACGATTGCAAGAGCTGGATATCTTAGCAATTCGTAATTGAAAAGCAAGGTCTTAAAAATTGTCAGCGGAAACCACCAACAAATTTTAAAACATGGTTAACTAAATCGATAGATGTCACCTTTTAGTATTTGGGACACATGTCCCAGCCAGCAATTTTTGGGATCATTTTTGAGATTCTACAGACTTCAGACTGTTCCGGATTCCGCGGATTCCGCAATTGCGCCAATTTTTAAAATACGGTGTCTTAGTTATTTGTTTGTGCAATCCAAAACAGCAAAGAAGATCAAAAGAAAAGTAGCAATCTTGCGGATTCCGCCACAAATCTGATTTTGACCTTCTGGGGAATCCACTTACAATGCTTGAATGCACAGTTTGGTCTCATTCTGAAACAGAAAAAAGACGGTAAGGAATTGAAATAAAGTGGCGCCAAACAGATCGACTTGTATACGAGGGAATATCATGAAAATAGGACCCAGAACATGAAAAATACAGCCCGAAAGGTGTCGACTCCCCGTTAGCTGGTATTGGGTAGTTTTCACACCGAAAATTTTGATAAATTGCAATTTTTTTTCTTCATTATTGTTAAAAGCTTTAAAACGCTCATAAATTACTCAGAAGACAACTAAAATGGCAGTATTAAAACCTACAAAAAAAAGTTTTTCCCGGGACTATGCATCGCAATTAATCATGAAGCAACATAATTCACGAAAATGCGAAGACTTCGTTTTTGATTCAGGAGTTTTGCTACAAACAGATAGAAACTACATTACGATCAGATTTTGTGACAAAAAATGCAGGGTCGTTGCTTTTAAATTCTCCAAATGAGCCGTTTATACAGCTATAAATTAATGCCACAAAAATCTGATAATGTGCTTAATTTTACACAAAACTAGAAATGTCAAAAACTAGAAATGTCAAAAATAGATAAAGCACAAAAATAGAAATGTCAATAAATTGCTGATTTCATTTTGTATAAATATTCAACGCTTGTTATGAAACAAAAAAGACCGATTTGGAATATTAAGAACAGGGACAAAAGCAGCAGCGTAACGGATTCAGGGGGACGGCTTTACCTCCATAGATCAAAAATGCTAATCAAACAATTCCATAAACTAAGTCAATGAAAAAATACTAGTTATACCAATTTGATACATTTTGCTTTAAAAAAGTGCCATCGAAATTTCAAATACAACTTTCTCATATGGAAATTGTTTGACTAGCAAGAAGAAAAATTTTGCATGTAATTTTGTAATTGCCCCAAAAAAATTTTTTTTTCAACCGCAAATCTAATTTTGTGTGCATAACGTAGTCCTGGATACACAAAATTGGATTTTTTTTGTTTCTCTGGATAATTTTTTTCAAAAGGCTAAATTGAAAGCCCATTTGTTTTTTAAGGATGTTTATTTATTTCTTGATCAACGTCTGATAATTTAAATTTCAATTTTTGAAAATAATCATCACTGAAGGTTTTCTACAAAATTTAAAAGTTTCATGCTTCCAGTATATGATTTGGGTAAGAGACCCTTTGTAATAATTTGAAGTACCCATTTTTGGCTGACGGATCCTAAAACGCTTCTAAAGGTGGCAATGTTCACTATTTTTGAGGTGGAAGCGCCCGCCAAAAAAAAACGCGATTTGTTGGTCAAAATTTTCCGAAGATGGCCATAAAACGCCTGCATGTTATTTTTTTTTCAGTTTTTGCCTGACGCGGTTTTTATTGCTTTGTAAGCTCTCGGAAAATTAATTTAGTCGACCTGAAAAAAAAATATCGACAAAATTTTCGAAATATTTTTGAAAATCCGCCCCCCCTTCGTGAAAATCTTAGATCTGCCCCTGAAGAGCAGTTAGTTTTAGTACTCATTGTGAATAACACTTTTTCTCTAAAACTTAAAAAATCATAACAATAATGACAGCTTGTGATTTTGAAGCAATTTAAAATCAGGTTAAATCAATTGTTTTAGCATTAAAATTGAGCTATTTAAATCTACACTTTTTCCTCAAAGTTATTTTCTCTCACTAAAATCAATCTTAATACATTTTTGTCGCTCCAAAACCTATCTGAGTCTTTTTTTCCGTATGTTCAATCGGTTCATTTTTGCAATTCAATCTCAATTTACCGGATGGGGATTGATTGAAAAATGAAAAAAAAAACTTAAAATGAAAGTCATTCGTAACTACTATGTAAATCCGATTAAACGAACACTATACTATTTTTTCCCTGTTTAAAAAATGAAAAGCCTGCTAAGATAAGAAAAAACAGGTAAGCTGAAAGATCAACTGGATTATAATTATAATGCGCGTCTTTTAACCGCAGAGAAACAAAATTGGCTTGAACTTCACATCTGATAAAATTAGCTAAAAGTTTTTTTTTATATCAAGAACAGTTGTTCGACGTGGGAGTAGCCACACAATATTTGGAGAAAAAAGTAGAACGCTTTGAAAAATTTATATTTTTTTATTTTTATTTTTATTTTAGTTGGCGAGAATTGATTCAAATAAAATTTTTTTAAAAGCATAAGAAAAACCTTTAAAGTATGACATGGATTTTTTTACTAGCCCATTACGAGGCCAAACGGTGTCATTGTGATGCTTGTGCATATTTCGTCAAAAATTCAATCAAACATTCTTGAATAATTATCCCAAATGTATAAAAATTCACAGAGTTACTGATCATATGGTATAAACTTTGCACCGAATAGTCAGATCTGACAATTTGTTGAACCAGGGGAATCATATTTTATTATGTTGAATCATATTATAACGACTGCCGGAATAACTTAACCAGAAAAACTTAATTCAGCCCTTAAGTGAGGCACTGAAATATCGCTTTGGAGCTGAAACATTAGTGAAAAAAAAATCTCATGTATGATCAATAGATAACTTACGATTTTCAATTAAATTTCCTGAAAACACTTTAGTATAAGTTATAACCTATAATTAGACAAAAACTTACGATAGAGCTCAGCAGAAAAACGTATGCTTTTGAATGAACAACAGCTAAATCAAAACAAAAACTAAAATTTTCAAGCTGTACCGTAAAACATTCGTCAAAGCAAAAAAAAGTTTTTTGTGCAAAACATAGGAGTAGGAAAAAAGTATGACATGGATATAGTATTTTTTCTAGACCATTACGAGGCCAAAGAGTGTCAGTGCAAGGCTTATATAGATTCCGCAAAAAAAATCGATCAATGGTTCTCGAATATTTATCCCAAATGTATATAAACTCGCAAATTCGCTGATCCCAAATGTTTAAAAGTTCGCAGATTTAACCTCCGACTGGTTTTCGCAAAGTTTGGGAACTTAAAAATTGCCAATTTGACAACGCTCTCGACTAATGTATGCGCATTTTTGAAAATTTTATCCATAATCACGAAAGCAAATTATCCCGCGCAACAAATTCGTTCCAAAATGAGTTGAGGCTAACTAGTCGGCCGTATTTGTTTTGTACAACTTAAATTTTCACACTTGATCTTTGATAGTGTCCAAATTTTATATTTTTTCAATATTTTTTCCCCAAAAATTTATACGATATGTATATAGGGGTAGTCGGATTATTCAGGGCTTTGCCCTGAATTACGAGCATGAAAATGATCTGTCGAACCATTCTTCTTCTTTTGAGTTTTCAATTACTTCAGTTGCCATGTTTTGTTTCCAACTTCATGTTTCAATCAAAAGTTACAAAATGCGCACGTTTACAAATGAAAGTCACGAATGGCTCGAGCAATCAAAATTAGGAAAAATTAAGGTCAATAACATCCTCGGAGGAGCCCTTAGTTTTTCCTTAGGATTTATTAGTGCTAGTTTACGGCCGGTCGAGTAATTTTACCTAGCACTGTCTTTATCGCGGACAAGCGCGCTCTACTGTCAGGCCCGGTGAAAATTTCGATAGTTCGTCCAAGTGGTCAGATGCCACGCGGAAAGGCGTCCTCCAGTATCCATACGAATTCTCCAGTTTTAATGATATCCTCTGACTGTGACAATTTTGTGC